ATTAAGTCAGCCTTTCGGTCAGGACCAAGAAAGATCTCCAAACCTTCCTGACATGCAATATGTCAGCCTCTCCTATGATGCTATTTTGAGTTGTTCCATCCATTCATTAAAGGTAATGGCACTGATTGATTTACAGTGTCTTAAAGTCTTTCTAAAGTCTGAGGTTATGTGCAAAGTGTTGCTTTGCACCTTCAACTTAAGCTGTGGTCATTTCTTTGGTGTCCAGTAGCCTCCATTCAGAACTTTTAAAAGAGTAAATGGTATTGTGCTTCCTGTGAGTATTTATGCCAGGAAGATATTGTTTCTTGGGGTTAGATCTTTAAATTTGTTTTTAATTTCCCCAAAGGATTTTATTCCGTCTTATCCAGTCAAGTCTTCCATTAATTCTTGAGTCTACCCAGTATTTTACCATATAGAGTATTTAGAAAAGTCTCAGTTACTGTCAGTAAAATGACAAGTCCAAATGTGAATTACCTGGACCAGCCAGCAAGGGGAGGAGCGGCACAAGCCAGAGCCATGATCCAGGTGAAAAGGACTCCAGCTCCTGCATGAGTTCCAGTGAACTTGAAGCTTCCCATGGGTTTGCAGACGACAATGTATCTCTCAACAGCCAGCACGACCAGTGACCAGAGAGCAACTTCACCTGCAGAGAGAGAAGAAATCTTAGAGAGGAGCTTCAAAAGTGGACTTTTAGGTTGTTGGATGTTTAAGAAGTAAAGCCAATGGCCTTTACTCTAAAGTTCTGAGGAAACTTTAAAGGGAATTTTAAGAAGCTATTCAAGCATTATGAAAGACTATAGGTAGTTTTATACCTCCAAGTGTGGCCATGAATCCCTCGACAGCGCAGGCAGTGGCTCCCAGGATGAAGTAGCCGTTGATAGCAGATGTAATGGTGATGGTGAATCCGAAGGCGCACATGATCAGCCCAGCCACAGCCAGGTTGACGAGGATGTAGTTGAGAGGTTGCCTGAGCTTCTTGTTCTGAGCCGTTACCAGCAATGTCAGGCCGTTGATGGGAGTTCCAGTGCAGATCAGGAAGAACATGTACAAAGCTAGAAGCTTGAACATGATGGGATCCGCCAAGTAGTACTGTGGGTACTCAAAAGGACTCCTAACGATCCCAGTCCTGTTGGACATGGGGATGTAGAAGTTCTGGCCCTCTGTGCCATTGGGCTCCATTCCGCCATCCCATGCCATTTTCTCTGCTCTGTTGTTCTGCTGAGCTTCTTCAACGGGAGAACCCCAAGAGTGTCTGTGGACTCGATGGTCAGAGTTGCGGAGTCTGGTTTTTATACCTCACCACTAACCCTATCAGGACTTTGCCAAAATGGGATTAAAGGACTGAGAGAAATCAAATGAGGACGGTAATTCAACTTAACCCGGGATAGAGAGGCCACGGCCCCAAGTGATTTGCTCCACTTACCAGGTACGGGGGAGTTCTCCTAATCCTGATTACAGCACCTACAAGGAGTTTTTAACTGTTTATGAAACTGTCTCAATTAATATGGATGCCTCGATATGCCCTAGATAAGCAAACGAGACCATCAGTAAGAAGATATGACTGAAGTTAGTTTAAAAGTTTTTTAGTCTCTAACTTCCTTTTATCCAATCTGTAGTCACATTTTCTAAAACTTAAAACATAAGTAGCACAACATATGCACTGTGGGCCGAATTCACAAAAGGATTGCGTGGCTTTTGCGACCACTAAACCGGTAAAAATGGAGCAACAGATACCGTCTAATTCACAAAGCACGTGCAGAGGGTGAAATGCTCCACTAACTGCGCTGCCAAGCAGATTGCGTCTTGATGCTCCGGTGTTATTTGCAGGTATTTAAATGAGGTAATATGCATATATTTGGCCCTTTCTGTGCAAATGAGCCTCATTGATAAACAACGTCTAATTCACTAACACCAGCGCTAATAGCCACACGCAGTTTGAGTGAAGTAAATGACGTCTTTAGAAAGCTGGTGCAAACTGGGCGCTCCTCTGTGGAAGCCTCTCGCCCAGACTTTCCAGTGATCGTGGCAGCAGTGATCGTCTGTTAAATCAGTCTGTAAATAATATTTTGACATCATTATTATTATAATCATTATTACTTTAATGGCATCCGAAGATATTGATACATTGAACAGGTGACAGTCTGCGGTCGTCTCAATACGCACTTCTGTCACACACTTCAAAAGCAACTTTCAATAATTTATTTTACAAAACGGGGGAAACAAACGTGAACAAAAACGGTTCCATAATTCATATTAAATTCAAAAGATAACGACAAAACAGCTCCAGGGGCAAATCAGGGGCAAACTGCACTCAGCTGCCAAACTTTGTGGGTGTGTTTGCGCTGGTATATCATTAGCGCAATATCCTTTGTGAATAGGACGTTAAGACAGAGCAAACTGCAGGTGCAAGAGAAGTGCAATTCAAGGTGCTATCAGCGGCCGCAGTTCATTCTTTGTGAATTAGGCCCTCAATGAAAACATTTCTAAAAATGACTAGATTCATGGATCTTTGTTGTCTTATTCACAAATGTTTGCACACAGCATGCCAGAAATGAAAACCTAATGTTCAAAACCTTAAATGTAGTATAAAGCCTCTGTGTCTGCAACAACGGCAGCTCAGAAGCTCCACTCAAACAGCTGATGAGCATATCTGAATGAACAGATCACTGAGACATTGAGAAATAGCTGATTTAAGTTGTGTGAACAGCTGATTCCTCAATCAGAAACACACACAACAAAATAATTAATTGGTTCAACTTAAAAAAAATTAAGGTAAAAATTTGCATGCATCTTTTTAGGTTGTTCCAATTACTCAGTCTTTTATAATGTGACAAACACAATTATATTATTACTGGCAGCAATTTCATGTTGCCAATAAAGCTTTTAATGCAACTTTTTTGTCACTATTTTCTCTACTGTGCAGCAAAGATTGCCCATTTACTTTTAGATAGTATGTTGCCAAAAATGCACTTGCACGTTTGGTGCTCAGCTGAAAAACTTTAAGTGGTTTACAGTAAAATGAAAGTGATTATAAAAAGCAATAGACCTGATATTGTATAGAATTAAACATTAAAGTGTTTTAAAGTCATTGTCCTATTGACTGAATATCCATCTTGGATAGAAATGATTTGATAATGAGTCAGGTTTGCAGTGTTTTAGTAGATGTAGAGTGCATAGGGAAGTTTTTTTGGGTTAAATTTTAAAATATAGAGTTAGTATTACAAAATGGAGTTTTGAGAAAAAAACCTATTTGGCTACAGGTGTGATGGATGTGTTAAGTGTTAAGAGTTTAAAAAAATATAGGTGAGCATTTGTTAGCAATTGACGTGCATGATTTGCGCTCCAAGTGTTTCTTGGAACCAGTATGAAAATTACTTACTAATACTTACTAATTACTACTAAAAATTAGGCTTCAAATAACAAATCAATTATGTGTGTTATGTTATGAGACTTGTTTCATGGCACCCGAGGATAATGGCACCTGGCTTGCCAATACAACACCATTTTAACAACTTGGATTAATTTTAATGAAAAACACTTCTGATTCTTTTGATTGGTGGACCCTTACGGACTAAAGAAACATTAATAACTTAGCAGGTAATCAAGTTACCACTTGTTTTTTATCATGCAGGTAAATCTGAATGACTTGTCGGTCTTCTCTGGTGCTCACGATTTCAGTAAAATGAAATAAACTGAGATAACAATGTGTAGCATCTCCATACTGACAAAAGTTTAAACATTTATATATGTATGTGCTAAACAGCTAACTAATGTTGGCTCAAGTGGGTAGTCAATAATCCGGTTTTATACATCCAAAGAACTTCTATAAAAATGAACAGCTTGTCAACCAGACCAGGCTTCTAATTGAGACAGGCCTTTATTTGTCAAAATGTGTAGCTACGCCAGGTTAGTAAAAGAAACTGGGTGATTATTGGGACAAGGAGTTTTTCGGAGTGTCAGTTTTACTTACAAAATACACGAGACATGGTTTTGCATCAGTATATGAATGTACATTGATGGCTGAAACAACACTATCTAACACTTTGACTAACATTAGTTCAATGTAGCTAATGTTAGCTGCATATGTTGAGCAAAGCTTCCTGCACCAGGCAATAAGTGTTTGCATAAAACTGAATGGTTATATGTTATGTTATTATATTAGCTCAAGATCAAGAAAAGTACTGCATTTCGGCTTGAACACATTATGTCAAATGGTTATATGTTTATTCTTTCCGGCCAGTAACTGTCAGTCAGTATCCGTCTCCAAATGGATGAACTGTGTATGTCATTATGCTCATTGGATTAACTTGGTCTCACCTGCTGGGTGAGCTGGCTGTAACAGCAAAAGCTTAAAGTCACAAGTTGGAACGAAAATGTGTGTTAAAGACTTATCCAATTTGTAATCTTTCATTAATGCCCAGCAGTGTTATCAGTGGCCAAGCTAGAATCAAATAGTGCCTTTTGTTTATATGAAGACAGCCATTCTTAAAAGTCCAGGAGAGGTCACTGACAACAGATAACGCTGAAAGCAGCTGTCAGAGTTGGCCACATTAGTGGGCAGCAGTACTACAGATGCAAGACACTACTCAGTCCACTGTAAATCAATATGTTCAGCATATAAAATAGGAGTGTTTCAGATGATGCATCATTTTTTATTTCACTGTAAGGAAAAGCTGCTTGTACAGATTACATCCAGTTTAATGTTGTTTTTTGCATGTTTTATGTACTACGTGCTTGTTTATTTTCTATTTTCTGCTCTTTTATGTAGGGTATTGCTTTTTTTAATGTAGGTGTTTGCTTGTGCACTATTGTTTATGCTTGTTTTGAGCTTGTATAATGCATTTTATTGCTTGTATTATGTAGTTCATACATGTTAAGTCTTTTATTTTTTGCCTTTTTAATGCGGGCTATTGCTTTTTTTAGTGCATGTTTTTGCTTGGTTAATACTGCTTTTTACTTTTTTTTTTTTACTCATGTTTATCTCATCTTTACTTGTCCTTGAATAAACAGAGTTTAAGAGCCTGTCTCATTTGATAAGAAGCCAGAAACTGTAATTAACTTAAGTGGCAGGCGATTGCGCACACCCACAAACAAGCTCATCATGTTCATCCACTTAATGAAGAAAAAGAACTTGTACATCCTCCTCATGTCCAACAGGAAGTGTGAGAAATCTTTTTGAGTGACAATAGGTTTATCTGGTAGATCACGGCTCTGCATGCTTGTCCTGATCTGAACTTGGACTTTGAATCAAGATGCTCCTGCAACCTCTCATCTACAACCTAGTCAGCTCAGACCGATGATGACCTGCTTTGGTGCCTGTGCTACTCAGGGATCCACAACCACACATGGAGGTAAAGTGCAAAGGAAGATGACTTATGAGAGATGTTGATTACCTTTGGACTCTTCGGTCAGTATACCAGTGTTGTAGACTGCAGACTGAGCAGATGACAGATTATAGTTGCAACCAATGCTTTCATCACTACTGCTTCTAATTATGACAACTTTTTAAGTTCTAAGATATGTGTTGATATCTCCTTTACTCAAGATACAGATCATTGTTAGTGCTGGCTGTTGAGAGATACAGGACATTGTCGTCTGCAAACTCTTGAGCAGCCTCACGTTCACTGCAGATCATGCAGGAGCTGGTGTTATCTGTACCTGGATTATGGCTCTAGTTTAAGTTGCCTCCACATTTTTGTGTATAATATAATATTGTATTTCATTTATATATTATATCTGTTTATATTCATTTATTTTTGGCTTTTGCCATTTATTAGACAAGATAGACTTAAGACTGTAAAGGTGAGAGAGAGGGGACAGCCATGCAGCAAAGGGTTGCAGGCTGGATCTGAACCCACTGCCACTGCGGCAAGGACAATGCCTTTGTACATGGGACCCCCACTCTAACCACTGAGCTACTGGACACCTGTTGTATTTATTTAATTTGTTAATTTAAGGGGTTATTTATTTATGGGCCCTTTCATCACGAAGATGCTTCAGGAGTCTTTACAGGAGCATTTACCTGGGGGCCAAAAATGCAGTTAGGTCGTGTTTAAGAAGACATTATCTTGGCAAAATAAAGACAATAATTATTACATCTTGCCATCAAAGGCACTGAAAACAACAAACATAACATCTTCGGCAGAGGCAGTCATAAAAGGTGAACTCAGGACTCAGCAGGAAACAATATGGTCGCTAGGTGTGCCTCTATGGGGACTTGGCATGGGAACTGGATTGTCTATGGTTTAAGTCTCCGTGCGGACCAAGTACTGAGTGTGGACTGGAGATAGAGAAGTGCATGTTTGCCTCCTGGGCACTGCTGAGGTTCCCTTAAGCAAGGCATCCAACACCCAACCGCTCAAGGTGCCTGTCCGTGGGAAGCGCCCCGCCCCTTTTTGTGTGGTGTTTAAAAATAAAAACAGAATGGGAAAACAAAATGAAAAACTAAATTCCCCCTTTGGGATCAATAAAGTATGTCTTCTTCTTCTTCTCCCAGCTGCAGGATCAGAACCTTGAAGAGCACCACAAGACAGAAGAGGACATCACAGGGACAGAGCAACTGCTAACGTGCCTACTCAGCACAAAGTGGAAAATCCAACAAGACTAATGTTTGAATTATGACCACATTGGTGCAAAGAGGATGTACACCAATCGAGATGGTGAGCAAAAAAGGAACTTTAACAAAAAAAGCTTCAGTTATTGGAGGCTGCGCTGACAGTCAAAGTGGTAGGCAAGTTTAAAATTGCATTAATACACTTTTCCTCTCAGCCTGCCCACAACGCCTTAAACATTGCATCAAAACTTTTAATGTCTTTTAAAACATGTCAGACTGCATCACAGCAGCAAGAGTCACACTGCTAAGACAGGCTAGAAGAAAGTGACGTGTATTTTTGCATCTTGATGGTCCCTGGCTTCCTTTTTGTCTGGACTCCGTACTCCACTTCTGATCATCGGGAAACGGGGGAGCTGGTTTCACTGTCTCAACAACAACAATCCCAGCTTTCTTTGCAAAGCGCTCAGCTCTGTATAATCCTGTTATCTGCAGTATGTGATGCTGAAGAAAGAGGCTGCTTCTTCAACAATACTGAAAGCCAGAACCTGTCCACTCTGCTGGATTGACTTATGTTTTATATATTTTTATTCTTTTTTTAAATATATGAAATAACAGTTATTAACAATTGCTTACCAGTAACACAGAAGTCTTCACTGTGCCCTCTGTGTACTCTGTATTATGTGTGGACTGATCTACACAGGTTTACTGATTAATAAATCCGAATAAATGAATGGATGTTGGAAAACTGCAAATTTGTAATGTCATTACTGGATTTATCTAATCCTGTTGTAATCTTGTCACTTGAATGAATTAAAAAATCTATTTGTAAGCTTCAGAGGTTTGTGTGACCCTTTCCATGACATTGAAGCCAATAGACCTGTGAGTTGGTTTCAGTTGACCCTCGCAGATCCCAGTCATGTCCTCAGCCCTCATGCTAAGTAACCATTAAGACAGGAACCACTCGTCTGTTAATCACAGGCATTTGAAGAGGGATTTAACCTGGAAAAACAACTGCTAATATTACAGCGTGATGATTGGTGATCAGGACCAGACAGCAGATACATAACTGAAGTAACAGAATCATCAAAAAAAAACCAGGCCAATCTGAAACACTTTTTTAGTTTCTAACACATCATTAAAGGTACACTTTACAGGATTGTCCTTAAGAACAATGTATAGACTCATACAGAAGTTAACTCTCTCAGTCATCACTTAAGACCATTACTGCATAGTAAACCTTAAGCGTGTGCCATGCACTCTGCTGATTGAGCCAATAAGGTGTAATTAGGCTGATGCAAAGGTCATGACTACATAATGTGGTTACAGCATTACTGTGAGCCAGTGTTGGCAATGTAGCTCACCTCCCTGTCCTGGCATTTACCTGCTGGTGCTTGACTGAGTGGCTGTCAATGGGGTGGTTGTGCCTTAGGAGGTACACGGGGTTGTCAATCAATTAGGTGGTTCAATTCCCAGCTTCTCCAGGCCGCATATCAGAGTGTCGGCCTGCAATGTTAAAGCAGAGATTTGAAATGAAGTCCAATTAGTTAGTGCTTTATTGACACCTCTCAAAGCACTTTCACACTACTTGTCACATTCACCCATTCATATACACATTCATAGTCTGGTGGCCATGGCTACTATACAAGGTGCCAGTCAGTTTAGACGTTCACCAGACCTGATCGCACAGCCCTCAAGGAGCATTTTTTAGTGGGGTTCAGTATCTTGCCCGAGGATACTTTGACATGCGGACTGAAGAAGCCTGGCATCGATCTGCTGACCGTGCAATTAGTGGACAACTCGCTCTAACTCCTGATCCAGAGCCTCCTTCTACTGCCAACCCGGGTGGAACTGAATAAGAAGATGGGTGGGTGGAGGCTTCAAAATGGGAGTCCACAAACCAATGGGCAATGTTGCGGTGGCTACTCTGTTATTTCATACAGTCTGTGGTGTAAATGAGCAAGTGTAATAAAATGCATTTGCTGTGGATGTTATCTTGCACAGCATTTGTATCCGTGTGCATACAAGAGAATATGAGTGCAGGATGTGATGATACTCAGAATAACTCAGTCAAGCTAAACCTGCTGAAATGTGACACTTTCTGCTGTGACTATGTGTAAATGTGTGAATGTGTGAAATGCAGTGCATTTTCTCATCGTTATATGTTTTACTGGTTTACCAGTAGCATAATTTTCATGTAGAATGTAATAAAGAAAGAATAGAAAGAATGGACTTGATAATAAACACAGTATATGTTAAAGGAAATGTGCTCCTGTGTTCAGTTAACTCTTGAACTATATATGATGATCTGATTACCTGCTGTTTAAACCATAAATTCACAGATCTGAGATACAGAATAATTTTTAGTCGCAATCTATATCCAACATAGAGGCAAGATAAAGTAATATCCAGCTGAGACAAATAAAGAGAACAAGAAAATAAAATGAAAAATGTTTTCCTTGTTGGCAAGTTTATATTGAAGGCCTTCCATCTGAATCACAATGCCAAGCTCCCTCAGCCATTGATGGAATGTGGGGCTGGACACTGACTTCCAACCCAAATATGGCGAGAAAAGGTAAATGGACCTACACTTGCGTGGCGCCTTTCCAGTCTTCCGACCACTCAAAGCGCTTTTACACTACGAGTCACATTTGCCTATTAACACACATGTTCATACTTCGATGGAACAGCCACCAGGAGCAATTTGGGGTTCAGTATCTTACTCAAGAATACTACAACATGCGGAGTGAAGGAGCCACGGATCAAACCACAGTTTTTTCACATTAATTCTGATGGGTCTGGTGTTATTGTTTTATTATAAGCCTTTGATATATAATCAAATATAAGTGACCAGGACTAGAGCTTGGGGCACAGCCATAGTCGATGGGAAAGCGTGCCTGTGCCCTGCTTACATTTACCACACAAGGGGGAGACTATAGGATATATACTCCAGAGCCTTGCTTTTGTGCAATGGAGTCTATGTACAATTCTGAGTAGTATAAGTCTATGTCTAATATTTATGGAATTGTTGTATATCTTGATAAGATCAGTGATTTCAGTACCCAACTCTTCTGTCCAAGCATTCCTAAATTTGAATATATAGAGAATATAGAATATAAAAAAGAGACTGACCCATTACTTTTGGGATCATGACGGGCGAGGCTATCAAGTGTGGTGTGTTTAGGCATGTTTTCATATTGTGGTAAGTGAGTCTTAATATATTTCTTATTTGGAGGTATCTAAAAAAGTATGTTGAAGGTAGATTATAAAACTGCTGCAGTTGTTGGAAGGAAAGTAGATTCACAGACAGGTAGAGGGTGGAATCTGATGTTGGACCTGTGTCGGCTGAAGGGAGGAGGGTGCAAAGGAACCAGAGAAGTTGAGACAGAGTGGGGGAAGTCAAAGGGGAGGGAAACGGATCAGGTGTACTTAGATACTTTTAGTGCGGAAATGGATGAGATTGAGGTGTGGTCTTTGTTTCCAAACGTAGTTATAAAACATGATGATAGAATGCAATTTCTTAAAGTAATATAATGGTAAAGACCAGAATACATTGAGAAATTTGGGGCAGCATAACCATTTTTAAGGCATTGATACGGTGGCCTAAAGAAATTGGCAGTATGTTCCAGTATTCAGTATTTCTGTTCAGTTGTTGGATCTTACTTTCCCAGTTGGAATTTAAAAGATCACCATATTTTCGAGTTGCGGTAATACCCAAACTCTTGATTTGGTTATTTAGAATTCTGAACAGCATTGTATGTAGAAACTCTAAGACTATATTATCTAATATTGGAAGTAACTTGCTCTTTTCCCAGTTAATAGAGTAATCCCAAAGACCTAAGAAAGTTCCAGTTAAACCCAGAGGAGGAAGAAGAGACAATTTGGGACACGATAAGTACAAAGTTATGTCATCTGCATAAAGTGACAAATGGTGGTTTTTTCATGTATTTGAATAAGGATATAATCAGGGTTTGTTCTGATCTCACTGACCAGGCCTTCCATGCACTGATTAAATAAATGCGGCGAGCACGAGCAGCCTCGTTGAACACCTCTATGTAGAAAATGGCTGTGATATCTCCCCACTGGTATTAATGGAGGCCTGTGGTTAGGTGTAGATGATCTTTATCCAGCTTATTATGGTCAAATGCCTTTCTCTGTGTCTAAGACAATGACCACACACTCTTCTCCAGGGTCCAACCTGGTCTCACTCCGAAGTTGTTGAAATCCGGCACTTGGGCAGTGACTTGCGGCATCAGATGCTGATGAAAAAAGCTGTCCTTTAACATCGGCATGATACGTGGCCGGTCAGCAGCGTCATGGGGAAACACGGTGGGACAAGAATGAAAGTGAAGGTGATGAAAGTCTGAGTAGGGTGGGTGGGAGTGGAGGTGGATGGGTCCAACAAACACCAACTTTCACACGGGAGAGCGGTGTTTGCGTTCCATAAGATTATAAAGCCAAACCTCGTTCTTTTTTCCAAAACCTTACCATGTGTTTTTGTTGCCTAAACCCAACCACATGTGTTAGTTGTTGAAAGAAAAAAACACGTCAATTCGTGGTGTTGTACCGACGTAGTGTTGATTTTGTCATCTGGATCTGGATTCCTGGTCCTCTAGTTTGGCTTTCATGTGTTTATTTTCGGATTTAGGGAGTGACTCCAACTCATCTAGCCAGGTGTCATGGTTGCTTACACCAGTTTCAAGTGACAGAACATGCTCTCTGTCCTCTGTGACATCCGACTGAAGCTTTTGAATTTGAGATTAAAGACTGACAAATTTGGCCTCTAGGTTTTTGTCTAAGTTTGTGAAAGTAAGAAGCAGGTCTGATAGCAAGGGTTCCTTTGATGTCACTTTTGAGCCAGCCTCCACTGTTGCAGGACTTTTAGTAGGAAAAAAGTTGATCACTACTGTTTTTTATTTTTATGCCTTCGAGATGGCTTCAGCTATGGCTGGAAGCATTAAGTTTCTGGGTTGTCCGGCCATCCATCCACCCTGTTCTCGTGAAAGTGATATATCAAGAAGAGGATAATTCTTCAGATTTGGCACAAATGTCCATTGGACTTAAGCATGAACTGATTAGATTTTGGTGGTCAAAGGTCAAGGTCACTGCGACTTTGCATCCATCCCATTCTTGGGAACATTATATCTCGCAAGTGCCTTGAGGGAGTTTCTCCAAATTTAGCACAAACATTCACTTGGACTCGAAGATGAACTGATGATTTTGGTGGTCAAAGGTCACTATGACCTCAAAAAATACATTTTTGGTCATATACAGTACAGGCCAAAAGTTTGGACACACCTTCTCATTCAATGCGTTTTCTTTATTTTCATGACTATTTACATTGTAGATTCTCACTGAAGGCATCAAAACTATGAATGAACACATGTGGAGTTATGTACTTAACAAAAAAAGGTGAAATAACTGAAAACATGTTTTATATTCTAGTTTCTTCAAAATAGCCACCCTTTGCTCTGATTACTGCTTTGCACACTCTTGGCATTCTCTCAATGAGCTTCAAGAGGTAGTCACCTGAAATGGTTTCCACTTTACAGGTGTGCCTTATCAGGGTTAATCAGTGGAATTTCTTGCTTTATCAGTGGGGTTGAGACCATCAGTTGTGTTGTGCAGAAGTCAGGTTAATACACAGCCGACAGCCCTATTGGACAACTGTTAAAATTCATATTATGGCAAGAACCAATCAGCTAACTAAAGAAAAATGAGTGGCCATCATTACTTTAAGAAATGAAGGTCAGTCAGTCCGGAAAATTGCAAAAACTTTAAATGTGTCCCCAAGTGGAGTCGCAAAAACCATCAAGCGCTACAACGAAACTGGCAT